CAAATTTCTTTGCCAAGGGCTCCATGCAATTGCCTTTATTTATATTATAGTGTATATATATTATGAATGTACATGTATGTATATAAAATCAAGTTATTAATATATATATTTACCTTGACAGCAGCTTTATGGTCAGTTTTAGTAAACTTTGGAATGCTTGATTTTGCATCCCAAATATTAACTTTACAGTCATCACCTCCACTAGCCAATTGTTCACCATCACTTCTCCATTTCAAACCACAAACTTCTCTATTATGATTGTGCATTTCTGCAAATTTATGTTGTGCAAGTCTAATATCATGTTTCCAAATACTACCATCCCTACATCCTGAAGCAATAATATGTTTATTCCATGTCATAACACCTACACGAGTAGTATGACCACTCATTGATCTAATCTTTTGAACACTCCAAATATTCCATATTTCAATATTGCCATCATTCAATCCCACAGCAAGATGATCACCATCTTCAGACCATGAAAGACTTGAAATAGTATTAGTACCACTTCTAATTATAGTAATTGCTGACAACTCATCAGTTATTATATCCCACAAATAAACTCTTTTATCTATTCCAACTGCCACTATATTTTGATTACTCCAATCCAATATATTTAAGTAATAGTCATCAATCACTCCTAGTACATCAAGTTTATATTCAGGGCCTGTTGGTATTATACGTTTTTTGATACATGATGACTCTGATTGACAATTGTAAATTTGGCTTAATTGATCAATTTTTTGATAATGATCATTGGGTTGATGTTGTTCAACCTTAAATTCCAATATATTCTTATCAATTGCCAATCCACATGCACATGCCAATTCCTTTTGATATTCTTGTTCAGGACTATTCAGATCCTTTCCGGTCCTGATATTTTTGTGCAGGAATTGCTGGCCATTTGTATTATTTGGAATAAATCTATCATACTATTTTTAATAAACAAATATTTATTGTTAATATATTTTTAAATCTAAATAAAATATTTCTTAATATCTAATTCAAATATCATCATCAAACAAATATATATATATATATATCTACTGTATACATACTACATGTGCCTGAGATTTAGCCTTCCTTTTTCTGGGAGACAAATCACCAGACCAACCTTTTGTTCTTTAAAATAATTATGTAAAATTTAATAATGTGTATTATGATATTCTAACTAGAGTGACAACGAGTGGTGATAACCACCACCATTCTCATGATAAATTAGAGTGGCAGGCAATAACTACCACCACCATCCTTATGATAAACACTTACCCAAAATATTTATCACGACCGGTTTCTTTTCTTCTTTTATTGTTTCCTGAAGACATTTTAAAGCAATAAAAAATAATTATTGATTTGATCAACAAACGCGTCATTAATTATTTATTATTGGCACTTGGTGTTGCACAGGTTTTTTTTGTTGACGCGAATTGATTTTTTTTTCACAATTTATTTTTTACAGAGTCCAAATATGACAAAACGTGAGTCTCCTAAAGAAGACGTGTTAATAATAGAGGTACTATTTTTTATTTGTATTGATATATATATTTAGTTTATAAATATTTTAATTGAAATCAAAATTCGGAGCAGATCTTGCTGGGTATAAGAATCTCATCAAAATGATAACAAATGATTGGCATTTTTCTTTTCGTAATCAATAATATTAATAATATTATTATATTATTATAATTACAAGATGTCAAGGCAGCATGACTGACTGTTACAGAAGAAACATTTCGAATATGCAATGTTTGATTATCAGAAATTTTAGAGACATTGAGGCACGCACACTGCCTTGAACATTTTACAGCCATTCTCTCTCATCTTCCTCATGTATCTCGCATTTTACAATGCTTTACACACGATTAAATAGGATCCAACTTCTTCACGAGAAGTCTGTAGGCGTGCTGAAAAACTCATGGAAAAGGAGAAGAAGCAGGTTAGTTGGATGTGGAGATGTGATCGAAATGGTGGCTTCTTGCCAGGATCTTGCGCCTCTTGAAGGGTTCGTCCCAACAAGAGTGGGATACAAGTTATCTCTACAAGTGGTTATGGTTTTTCTTTACCAGGCTCTTGTAACTCTTTTAAGATTCGTTCTGACGAGGGGGGGGTACTAATCCCTGCAAGCATCTGAATTAGATGTGGTCCACAAACATTACTTCTTTGATAAAGGTCTACTAATCCTAGAGAAGGGATTGGTTATGTACCTTCCTTTATGCATAACAAAGAAGCGGACTGTTTGTGTGTTTTCCACATCTAGCCATTCTGATCTTAATTTTCATTCCACTAACTGGGAAATATTTTCTCACCTATTTTTCTTTCTGTTATAGTATGTTACTAAAAAAGTCAATATAATCTTCAGCAATGTAAGCTCGCGGCAAATCTCGGATAATGTGAATGAGCCTGTAAAAAAAACGATATGTAGACAAGGACGCATTATCTACATTTCCAAAAAGGAAGAAAACAATTGATAGCGTGCAAGTACCAAGTAAATAAGATACAACATATGTAGTTCGGACTGTTGTTATGATAACATTTCATTTACTCAACGCGCGTTTTTGATTTTGTTTATAGGAAAGCTCAGCCAAGAACAGGCGTTATCTCGTGTCCCTCCATCTATTACATACCCTTGGGATACCAGTATTTCAAGAAGTACTACACGCGTAGGCAGTGTAAAGCCAGCAATTGTTAATTGTTGGACGGAATTTTTCAATATGGTAAATCGACACACCTTCAATCAAGAGCCAAGACTCGATGAGCCGAATTTTACAAAAAGCATACCGATACGCATTGAGGATGATGATTATGTTGCCATGACTGTTAATATTTTTTTGATGTTGAATTCTCTTTTGGGATCAGATTATACTTTTTCGAAGCAGAAACTCTCCGACTTCACCTGTAATGGAAAGCCAGATGCTACTTGCCGTTATAGAAACAAAATAATTATCCCAATCGAACTCGAGAGGCAAATAGTTTTAGTATTAAATAGCGGACAGTTGGATTATCATTCCGATAGCAATACAAAGGATGTAGTTGATCAAATTTATTCCTATTTGCACATGAGTATTTTTTATCGTTCTTATTGTTATATTAATATGCTTTATACAGGGCGGAACGCCAAAGTGTTGCTAGCAAAGACCGAAGAGGGAAGAGTAGGAAACGCCCAGATATTATGTTCATAGCAAAGCATGATAGGAGAATCTATGAATTAATTTTTGCAGAATGTTCTCGCCTCGTCTGTGATAAACAAAAAGAAGATGATGATGAAGTGAAGCTGTGGAGAGAAATTAACGACGGCTCGTATTGGGCACATAGGGGGTGTAAGATAGATGGTGATGAGTTTGGTGTAATCGGCATTCAGGTTGCTGGACAAAAACTTCATTTATATGTTCTCATTAGAGATGATTATGAAATAAATCGCCTTTTTCTATTAAGATCAGTAGACATTCCAACACAATATTCGGATGGTGATTGCGTGTTTAGATTTGTAGAAACTTTATTATTTTTACGGGTAGAGATTTGCTCAAGTCTATAATATGCTTAATTAGTTTAATACTAATTCTTTTTTATTACATAGAGAATCTTAATTGTTGATCTTCTCAACTTTTCAATTCTGAACCTAGATTATATGGGCAAAGTGAAAACAGTTCAACGTGTCTTCACCATAGGTTTGATTTTATCGCTAATAAACTAATTATAAAAAATATGAGTCATATAACTCTATACTCCATATATTAAAAAAAATTTGCAATGCATATTACCCTCGTCAGTTCTGCTGAGAATATTTGAATCGATGTTATTTATCTCTAGATATTTACGTACCTCCTCATAATCAAATACCTCCTTTACATCCTGTGTCTTCTTATTTATGATAGTTATATGACCTTCATCAATTATATGAAAATGTAAATATTGCGTAGGATTGTAGTAAATCTACCTTGAATTTTTCGTCTGTTATTTTTGTATTTGCGAGACATATATAATATCTCTGCAAGTGTTTTATTAAATCTTTCCACGATTGCGAGGGATCTTATCACCCCCAGACTGACTGCCAGATAAGGAGTAAAGGTATTCGGAGTTTGATTATAGTCGGTACCCAATTAAGAGCCCTTCTATATTCAGTGCTCTACCTCCTCTACTTTTCGTCTGACGCTAGTCCTAAAACTATATCGGGGTCCTCGATGGGAATATAGACCAATTATTCAGATTGTTCTTGCATTAATTTTGAAGTTTTGCCCATAAACTCACGCCCCCATCACATTGCAGTAGTCGAGGCCAAGTAAGAGGAATATTTGGATTTTCATAAATTTTCTTAAAGGCTTTAGCAACCTTGTTTCTTTTGCTTGCGTTCTAAGGAAACAAAATCATTAATTTATGGAACAAACACCTGTTTCTATTATCCACACTTCTGAACTATTTTTAGAAGTGAGAGGAATGGCATATTTAAATATACTGGCGATATCTACAATAGTTAGTACCCATTTATATATTTTTCTACCTACTATATCATTGGTAAGACGTAAGAGATCACACTGATGTACAAGTAATTTTACCATAACTAATTCGTGGAATATTTTTTGGTGATGAAGTAAATTTTTGCCATTCATTCTGATTCATAAGCCAAGCACGCACTTTTTTGAATGGAAATCGATATCCTTCATTCTTAAGATCTTTCCATAGTTTTCTAAGTTAGAATGGTAACCAGTGGGATGATAGAATAATAGTTTACAAAGTGGGTCCAATTCTTCATCGGGATTAATTCTGATAATAGGTGAGTCAGAGATGAGCTGGGGGCTCGAGACTTTATCTCTTCGAAGCTTTGCTTCTTCAGTCATTCTCCGATCATAAATATTATGACGGCACTATAATTTACAGTTGTTGAAATATATTATGATGGTACTATAAATTACAGTTGAAATATATTATTATGAATTTTTCTTTCGATCCTGCATATTTACAGATATTAGAAACTAATCGGGAGTTATGAAAAGAACTATCTGAGGAGGTGGGAAATAATAATACGAATGAAAAAAAATCCGGGATCTCATAAAAGAGTTAGAACAATGTAATAGGACCGTTTTTCATCAAGGTTCTACTATTGTATACTATGAATCAGAGATACAGGAACTTAAATCCCGGATTTACAATCTTGAAAAGCGTCTACAGAAGGCATTGTTAGATATAGAGCATAAAGAAGAATCATTGGTTATATTAAATAACAGAATAAATGAGCTTCAGGAAGAATTATATACTCTCAAAAATAGAATTCGAGATTTAACATCTAGAAAATATAAAAAGTTAAACATGGCTCAGACGTCTAATATAAATGAGATTCAGAATCTTACTGAAATAGTTCAAAATGCATTCAATACTATCAATAGTATATTGTGTAGAATACCCGCAATACCACGAAATCATGAGGGTGAGTTTACTGATATTAGAAATGCCGTGGATAGACTTCAACTTATAGCTGATAGGGGAAAAAATCGAGCAGATCAGACTCAAGTCCAAGTGGCTAGACTACAGAGAGAAATTAAAGCATCTGAGGATGAAAATGCATTATCACTTATGGCATACAACAATGAAAGGCAAGCACGACACAATGTGCAATCCTTATACAATAAAAAACATAAGCGAGTTGTTGAGCTATTGTGTGAAAAATTTGCATATAAGTTTTTAATCCGCCAATTTACAAAAAAAGTTAAAGGAGTGCCAAGATCACGGTAAAGCACTCGATTTCAAACTCAGTCCCATAGAAAAGGCAAAAGATAAACAGTTATTGCGAAAACATCTCACCGAATGGGAGTATAAGACACTAGAAGCAAAAGGCTTAACGATTAAAGTTACAATGCCTAATTCACCAGATGTCTCATCATCTTTTTACTCAGATTCTAGTGATACTGGAAGTCTAACAGGGGGTATGCACCAAAAATTTGATACCATCCATAGACATGGTAGAAGAACTAGTGATATTTTGGGCAATAATGAAGAGGAATTACATTCTAGTGACAATGAGGATAGTGAAAATTCATCAAACTCCATAATTATTGAAGGTATGTCTAATACTGATATACCGCCCCTATTTAATGACTCGAATTCTTCTAGTTCAGATGATTCAGATGATTCAGAAATTCGAAGTTTATTTTCTTCAGATAATGATATTCATGCAAGTTGTAGACAAATACACATTCAGAATATTAGATTACAACATAAGGTAGAACAAGAATTGAGAAAATACCACAATGAAAGAGGCTTATTGGAATTTGATCGAGATCATCTTGTAAATGATCTTGAAATAGCTGAGGATGATATCAACAATCAGAACCAAATAATAAATAATTTAAATCAAGAAATTTTACTGCTTCAGAATAATATACATATAAATAACAATCGAACAGGTATGGCAGGGTACCCATTACCAAAATTTAACGGATTACCAGGTGACCTTTGTCGATGGTGCGAATGTGGTAATATTCATCCAAATGGTGGACACAATATACGAATAAGAATTGAAGGGATTATTGAAAATTGTTTTGGAGACGATGCAAAAGATTGGTATGAAAGTAATATCAAAGGTAAAAATTGGGAGTCACAACATATTACAGCAAATATTGGAGTAGCAGATCTCCATGCTATTAATGCATTAACTAACAATGGAATTCGTGCTATTAATGCTAATAGATTTAGAGGTCGATCTTGTACTATCTGAGATACTCCAAATGATGCTAATTTACCTGCAGTACCAGTAGTTCCAGCCCATACTGTGTGGGATGAAGATTGGTTAACATCAGGTGGACGGCCTACAGACTTACCTCCCAACGCACCTAATGCTGGAAATGATGCTAATATTGTAGCTTCAGGTATTCGAATTGGTCAAATGATAGATCGTTTTAAACATGAACATCCCACTATTACTGCAGAAAAGTCGCAAGTAATGTTCCATTCTTTGACCCAAGGTAATGAACCAGTAAATCGTTATTACTCAAAATTAAAAAGATTGATTAAACAAGCATATCCAGCATTGGCAGATGCAAACCAAGATGAACTTCTTAGACAGCAATTATTCAAGGGGATCACAAATGAAAATAAAATGGAAGTATCTCGTATTGGTCTTGAACATCCAATTTCCACTTTGTTACAAAATTAACAGAAATCAAAAGAAGAAGAGCTGAATTGATGCTAGGTGAATATAATATCGACTTCCATCTAGTTACTGCTCAATCTCAAACTAAAATTGATACTGGTGTATCTAAAACTGAACTCAAAAACCTAATAAAATCTATGATACCTTCTTCAGAACCCCAGCAAATACAAATACGGCCCAAGAACCAGTTATACAATCGGCCTCTTCTCAATTCTGACCACAACCTCCTGGAACATATAAAAATATACAAGAAAAAATATGGACAGTTTTTTACAATGGATATATGGAGAAATTCCAGAATTTATTCCTGTTCCAACCCCTCCTTTACCTCCAAAACCACAAATAAAAAAAAATGGAAATAGTTCAAAGAATGCTGAAGCTGGCTCTGATGATGAATTGGCCAATTGTATGAGTAGGTTATCGATAAATAATGCTATATCAGAAGGTATTCAGGCAGGAGTTCATGCTGTTGTTAAGAAATCATCTCATCATAGATGTTCCAATTGTAATAAAACTGGGCATAATTCCTGCAATTGTCCTCGTAAAAAGAGAAAATTGAAGAACAAATCCAAAAAGAAAAGTAAGGTCTGAATAAATTCTTTAAAACCAATGCTGTTTAAATTGACTACTGCTTGTGTGATCAATTCAATCATTAACACTAAAGGAACAAAGTTAATTATTTCATAATAAAAGCTATTTGTTTGTTTATTTATTGTTGTTTTTTGATTTTAGTATCAATGCACATTTTCTATTCATAATACAAGCTTCGCTTTATATGCTTATATGCTTTTATTTGAATTATTATTCGTTTTATTTGTTTTATTTGTTTTATTTGCTTTTATTTGTTTTATTTGTTTTATTTGCTTTTATTCGTTTTGTTCGTTTTGTTCGTTTTGTTCGTTTTGTTCGTTTTGTTCGTTTTGTTCGTTTTGTTCGTTTTGTTCGTTTTGTTCATTTTTATATATTTGTTCTATTCGTTTTACTCAAATTATTTGTTTTGAATAACTACTAAAGATTATGATATTATTTTAGTACAAAGTAGTGATCACAATCATCATATTCATGAATAATTCATTAAGGGGGTTACACTTATCAAAATCAAGTGATTGACACATAATTTTAAGGGATTTTTGGATTTTTGATATGTGTAATCCCCTTAATGAATATTCATGAATATGATGATTGTGATCACTAGCACAAAGAGCTTTAGAAATATTTAACTAATAATTTAATTACAAAATATAAAAGAGTTATTGGTTTATTAAATTAATTAAAAAATAGGATTAATTTTAAAAGAATATCTGATAATTTCATTCAATATTTACTAATAGGCTTTTAGACTATATGATAAAAATATCAAGAATACTATAATCAGATTCTGATATTTACTGATACCCCCATTACCAAATTTGGCATCATTTGACCAGTAAAGAGAGAACCAATAGATTATATATAAGCAAAAAAAAATGGGACCTTAAATTAGCACAAAAGAATTTTAAATCATGCACAAACATAACAGCTTGATAGCTTGATTGACATAGTGGTGTAGTCTTGCAATTTTTTTATTGTATATTTTAAATATAATTGATCATATGTCTTTAATAAAACAAACATGACTTGGCTATTTAATCATTTCCTTCATTTCCTTGTATGTGAATGCCTCCATCCATCAAATATTCATGATGGTCATGATGATTATTTGATACATTTGATATCATCATTGACATAACAAACAATTGCATCACCCAGGTAGTAATGATACCAAGGCCACACATAAACAAAACTCTTAATAATGCATGTCTACCCAGATCTCTGGGGTTCACAAAATAAATTAATTTTCCTGATTATCAATTATGGTTCCTTATGAATAATAAATCTGATGTTGATTGCATGTGTCAGATTTAATTAAAATTTCCTATCACCAACACAAGTTTGGGTGCAATTAAGCACGCCTCATAACTGTGGAATTTTCTCCACAGGTAAGGGTGCCCTCTGTTGGAAGGCTTTGGACAAAACATTCCCTAATCTCCCTTTCAGACCAGGCTTGACTGTCACCATATGGGCATTGATTGCTGATGAGGTTCAGCATTTGTGTGATAATTGCTGCATGTTATTGCCACACTAGCATAAAAGTTGGTATTAAGGCTGGGTTGAAAATTCAGCAACTCAGGAGGTTACAACCTGGGTTGCTGTTTTGGATTTTCCCTGGATTCAGAGTTTTGAGTCCTGGGTTGCTGTAATTTTTATGAAAAGAAAAGTATTAGTATTTA